GAAATCAGATATTGTCAGGAATGACCAAAGATAATTATCTTCAGTTCTTCAATTAGTTATTTTTGATGGGCAAGCATATTTTTATTTGTACATATTCTTTTCTGAAATATATCTAAGAAAGGAATATTTTAATTTGACTCTAATACTGTTTTTATTTATTTATTTATTTATTTTTATTTTGGTATCATTAATCAACAATTACATAAAGAACATTATGTTTACTAGGCTCCCCGCTTCACCAAGTCCCCCCCACATACCCCTTCACAGTCACTGTCCATCAGTGTAGTGACTCTAATACTTTTTATGAAATGATTCTTTTGCCCCAAATAATAACTATAACAAACTTACTTTTAATAGCTCCATATTATAAGTGCTGTCACATACTTTACAGTATAAAGGGAAGAGTTTTTGTTTGTTTTTTAACACAGAAGAATGGAAAGAAAAATCAGTAATGTAGACCACATTGTATCAAGAAAAGATTCACATTTATATCACTTTATCATATTTTTTTACTGATATAATTGAGTTATATTCTGCTTGTAGTTAAAATTATGTGTTGAACTTATGGGGACAATCTTACTTAAATGTTTTTTAAAAACTACCATGATTATTTCTTAATTGAACTTAGGCTTCAGTGTTTTTATAACTAGCCAGTATATTAGACTGTTCCTACATACTATGGTTATTTCCACGATCACCTTGTTTATCCATTATTCATACCTTCACTGTGTTATAGTAGTTCTAGCTATATATTCAGTGTCTGTGTACCAAAACTGCTAAAGATTTAGGTAATCTGTGATTTAAGTGATAAAAATTTTAAATCATGGTTGTAATTTATTGTGAATAACTTTTATGTATTTTCCTTGTAAATATTAACATGTTAATAACATGAACTGTGTATAAAGCAGAATTCTGTCAGTGGAAAATAAATATATTTAGTGTATTTATACTTAATAACATTTCATATTAAAAGCATTTCCATATTTGAATTAAAATTAAGATTAATATTTATACTGGCTGTGAAAAATAGGACCATCTGTATATACACGCAAGTGTGAGATGCTCTTGTCAGTTATCTTTATTACAAGTTATGTGGATCTCATAAAACTTTGCTAATCCCCTTTTTAGAGATACAGAAGGCTAATTAAATCTCTTAAGTGTTCTATGGACCAGTCAATGGTATTGTCACTAGTGTCTAGACATCAGTAAATGTTAAGATTTTCCTTAGTAAAAGATGTATCATGTGAAGGACTCTTGGGAATAAATTTAATTTGGCATGTGATGTGAAACCAATCGTGGATAAGAGTGAAAGCAAGTTTTCTAATTGGTGTTCTGCCCTATTTGAGAAATAGGAAATACATTTCACTTGTGTTTTTACAAGTATGTCTGTATGTTGCACTTACATGACTTCTGTGAATATTGTAAAATATTGATTTTTTTTACTCTAATTCAAAACCTTACCTCTTTCAATTTATGTCTTAACTAATTTATTCATATTTTAAGTTCTCCAGCACAAAAATACCATTTTGCTTCAATTGAAATCTTAAAATCAAAGTGAATGCCATTAAGCAAGCTTTCTTATTGAAGTTGTTACAATCTAATAGAAAAGATTTGTTTAACAGTTTAGACTTCCTTTTAACTTACAATTGAGAAGTCTCAATTTACTGGCAAGATACTTTTGTTTTAAAGCACAGTCTAACTGCGAGCCTCAGATTTTTTTTAATCAAATTTGTTAGATGACTTGCAGGCAAGAGAGTCATTAAATTATCCTTGGTTGGCAATTCTAATTGAAAATATTTCTTGCAAATATCTTGTCATGTGAGGCTTAGAAATCAGCCTTGAATTTTTGTTGATTTCAAAGCACAGTATGAGTTTGACAAACTAAACATACCATTTGTCTGTTTTATAGTTTTAAATTGAAGATCTTTCTACAACTGTTCCGCCTCTTAGGAAGTATATTTGACGTTTGTCATGCCAGGTGTTTTTTTCTACTTGCTTTTTTTTAAATCAACATGAAAATGAACATGCATAATACATAAAAATCTTTACAGATATATTATTACATATTTTTATTTATATTATTGTACTTCCAGGATCTTTTATTTATTATTTGAAATATATTAAGTAGAAATCAGTTTCTTAACCCTGTGACTTTATATTTCATTTTGTAAACGTTAATGTGTTGAGGTGTATAATCAAATACCATTGGAACAAAATGGAGATTTGAGGATGATGAATTGATAAGTAGGTATTTTTGTAGTGAGATTTTTTAAGGTCAGTTGCTGTTGTCCTTATAAAAGTCTAATACAGTCACTCAGCTGTTAAAAACCTAATCCTCTATTTAAAAAAATATACAAAAACAAATTGTCTATCTTTCTGGCTGATCTCTTCTCAAGTACTAACACAATGGAAACAGTGGGTGATCTGTCAGTATGTTTGGTTTGTCAATGATGGTTTTGTATAAATATTGGGAGGGTAAGAAATAAAATTCACACAGTAAAATATGATTTCATCTGCCTTTTCTCTGCAGCTCCATGGCTCATGCTGCAGTGTGAAATTCTCATTTTACACACTTTGCAGGCGGAGCACATGAATTATGCATTGAGCAAGAAAAATCTCCTGCCTCAAGTCCTATATGCATTTACCCAGGTTCTGTCTCTATTACCAAGATGAATTGCAAATGGAGAAATGTTTGATGGAATAGGGCTCTTAACTTCTTTGTTTAGAATTCAGATTTTTATTTTTATAGTAGATCCTTTAAGTATGAAAATGTTTTGAACTTACTATGGATTTTTTTTAAATGAAAAATGAAATATAATATAAGAGAGGAATGCCAAACACATCACAAAGCTTTTTATAGCCTTGATTTGGAATGCAAGGCTTTTTCAGTTCAGTAGAAATGGGCATTATCTATTGCTAATGTTGTATTTCAGTCACTGGTTATTTGCTCCTCTCAGAAAGTCAATGAAATTCTGCCCTTTTGAGAGCCTTTTTTTCCTCTCTGTTTTAGACTTGTGGTAGAGACTATGCCAATTTCACATACAGTTCTGTCATTTTGTATATGTGATCTGATGTGTATTTAATAGATATTGTTACACATTCTTAGCTGTGAAGTAGAAAATAAGGTATAGACTTGCCTCCAGCTTTAACTTTATCTTGATTTGGTAGGTTTCTAATTTTTCAGGTGGGGAGGTTACAGTTCCATAATGACAGTCATGCACCATTGTAGCTTATAGCAAGCTACTCCCATTGTGCTTAGTATAGTATTTTGATAAGTCACATGATGATAAGCTTTTTGTTATATGTTCTTCCTTCACAGAAATGATATTCTAGTTGAGATGGCATTTTCATTCTGAACCTGTTTTTGTTATTTGGAACTTTAAAATTTCAGCTTCAAAACTAACATTTCTTCTGGTCTTTCCCCTTGTCCTAGAAATCATTACTCTTTTGAGATGTGGAGAGAGGGACAAATACTGTTTGTTTCGTTTTTAAATAATAAATAAAAATTAAAACCCATCTAGATGATTTGCAGTTTTCAGTGGCAGAAATAATTATTTTGAGGAAGAAAATCAATGCCGATGTTTTCAGTTACTGTTTTAATGTGTATTATTGTATGATCCTTCCTTGAAAATAATGTTTCTGATTATTGATATAAGGGGAAAAAATGAGCAAAACTTAAAATTATTTTAAAATGTTACCTAATATATAATTTGACTTACTGCTCTTATTCTTGTATGTTCATGTGTATGTTGTAAGAGCTCTAACATGGTGTAGACTTTATGGTGATGTAGCTTTTGCTTTAGTAATACCTTTCTGTGATTAAATGAATACTTCAAGAACATTTTAATAATTCACCTTAACAATAAGATATAAACACCTTTAATAGATTATAAGTTATCTGAAGGTAAGGACTACATGTGTTTTGGCTGTGGTATTTTGATTGCTTAGCACAGAATCTGATACATGTTAAAAATTCTGAACATATCTATGAATAAACAAAAACTTTTTAACAGAACCTTAAGTTTTGCATTTAATATGAGAAGATTTAATGTTAAAAAATATATAGATTATGAAGGTAAGTAACCTTGACCCAAATACATCTATTTAGCACCCTAATCTTGGTTGATTTCTAATTGTTTATAATGCTATTTAGTATTGCACTTAATTTATACCCCACTCTTTTTTAAAGATTATACATATTTTCTGAATCTGTAACTAACCTGTGAACAACTTAGGCTTAGGCCTATTGCTTTCTAGTGCATGGTTACCCACATTTGAAAAATAAGGTAGACCGAATAAGCAGATCTGAGATGGCAGGATCTAATTATGTACAGCTATGTTTTGAAATACGCTTATTCTCCTCAAAGGAAAATAGTAAAGTAAATTAATCCTTCTCAGCTCTATAGATCAAGAGTCGGAAAATGTCATCTATAGATTTTAATAAATACCCTTGGCAAAAAAGTATGACATAACCTATTGTTGAAATACATAGTGCCCAGTACAATGCCTGTCACAAACTACATCTCATTATGTTGACTTGTGACAGTCAACATACTGTCACAAGTTTGTTGACAGTTTCAGAGCTAAACATGTGCTTGAATGATTCTTCTTCTTAAATCAACTTGTTTAAAATTATTTTCAAGAATGTTTGCACACTGTCTACCAAAGAGCCACATTACATTATAATGACAACAGAAAGTTTACAGATTTATAAATAAAATAACTACTTACCTTTAAATTTCTTCTAATGGCCTTTATAATGCTTAAACAAAATATTTTAAAATAATCAACTGTTCTGTTGGTGGAGAAGAAATACTGTATGTTAACTGAAATAAAAACTTTGAATCAAAAAACATTTTGTGTGCCATACAGAAGCTTTTGATATTTTTTTGCTTGAAAGGCTAAGCAAAAGGGAAAAAATGTGTTTTAAAATACTAAGGACTACATCATAGATTTTTGAAGTAGAACATGTAATAAATGAAATATTTCTTATTTTATAGGAGAAAGAAAAGAAAACAAAGCAAGATAGTAATGCTTTTACCAAAGACATTTCACTTCTAGATCTAGATGATTGTAAGTATTGAAATGTAATTTTTTTTCTGTGTTTAGCAGTAATATTTTTTTATTTTTATAGTACCTTTTATTTTCATGTCTCAAAATTTATCAGCATCTATTATGAAAGATTTATAAATGAATAACTCAATAACATTTTAGAAGTTAGTACTGTTAGAATCTTTTTCTTTCATCTATTCAGCATATCAGTTGTGTATCACATGAATAAAAATAATTGGTCAAGTAAAAGTACACCAAATTCATTTTAACATCTTTTGCTTTAGTAATTTATACTTGTTTTAGTACAAAATGATATATATTTCACAAGTTCTTCAGTGTTACGTGTTAATTATGGGTATTGAGACATCTAACTTAAGGAGGTGGGGAATTAGGAAAGTAATTGGAACTGTGAAGGACACCACCATCTTCCACTTGCCACTTTTTGTTGGAACAGTAATGGGCACAAAGATTTTGAAGGCCAGTGTGGCTATCAGCAAAAAAATCTTTGTTTCAGCAAATTACTTCTGTGAATTTAAAATCCTACGCATATACTAACCCAAGCATGCAAATGTTCATATTCATCATCTCCCCTTAAAACCTTCTGTATTGAGTGAGAGAAGGATAGTGGAACTTATTTTATTGATAGTTAGATTTTGCACTAGAAGAAAAGTAACAAGTCAGATTTAATGAATATTAAAATGTCATTTTTCAGTATGATTTTTCCATGCTAGAGGTGAATACATTTTTATGTTGTCTCATTCTTTTGTGGATTTGTTCTATTTATAGTGTGTACCTTGCTTGTCTCCAGTAGTCATGGGAACTTCTGAATATAAAGAAACTAAAATGTCTAGTACAGAGAAGTACTTACTATAAGGAATTAAAAATAAAGTTGGAGTATACAGTTATACACCAGTAAGTTGATAAACCTAGAAGAAATGGATAAATTCCTAGAAACACACACCTTCCAAGACTGAATCATGAAGGAATAGAAAATCGGAATATACCAATTATAAGTAATGGAATTTAATTGGTAACTTTTGAACTCCCTAAAAGACAAAAATCTAGCACCAGGCAACTTCACAGGTGAATTGTACTAAACATTTAAAGAAGAGTTAGTACCTATCCTTCTCAAATTATGCCAAAAAAAATAAAAGATAAAGGAATGCCACCAAACTTATCATATAAGATCAACTTTCACCAGATGCCAAAACCAGGCAAAAACAACACAGAAAGAAAAAATTACAGGCCAGTATCCCTGAAGAACATAGTTGCAAAAATCCTCAACAAAGTATTAGCAAGTAAATTAAACAATACTTTGAAAGGAACATTTTCCATGATCAGGTAAATTTTATTCCAGGGATGCAAAGATGACTTGACACCCACAAATAAATCAAGATGATACACCATATCAACAAAACAAGGGTTACAAATCATATGATCATCTCAGTAAATGCAGAAAAAGCATTTAACAAAATTCAGCATCTATTCATAATAAAAACTTCAGCAAGGTGGCTATAGAAGGAATGAACCTCAACATAGTAAAGGCCATAATATGACAAACCCACAGCTAACATTATAGTCAATGGTGAAAAGCAGAAAGCATTTCCTCCTAAGATAGAGAACAAGACAAGGATACCCACTATCACCACTTTTATTCAACATAGTATTAGAAGTACTAGCCATAGCCATTAGGCGAGAAAAAGAAATAAAAGGAATCCAAATTGACAAGGAAGAAGTAAAACTGCACTATTTGCAGATGACATGAAGATATATATAAAAACCCTAAACACTCTGCCAAAACACTATTAGGATTAATTAATGAATGCAATAAAATCACAAGATACAAAATTAAGATACAGAAATCTGTTGCATTTCTATATGCTATAATGAGCAATCAAAAATAAAAATTACAAAAACAATCCCATTTACAGTTGCACCAAAAGGAATAAAATTCCTAGGAAATGTAATGAAAGAGGTGGAAAGACCTGTACTCTGAGTAAGACATTGATGAAAGAAATTGAAGACAACACAAATAAATGGAAATGTATACCATGCTTATGGATTGGTAGGATTAATATTTTTTAAATGTCCATATTACTCTAAGCCATCTTCAGAGTCAATGCAATCCCCGTAAAAATACCAATGGCATTTTAATACTATAACAGAGTACTATAACACAGTACTATAACAGAGAATCCTAAAATTTGCATGGACCCACAAAAAAACCCGAATAGTCAAAGCAACCTTAAGAAAGAATAAAGTTGGAGGTATCACATGCCCTGATTTCAAACTATACTACAAAGCTATAAAAATTAAAACAGTGTGGTACTGCCATGCCTATTCATATCTGCTCGATTAATTTATAACAGAGGAGGCATTCGTATATAAAGGATATAAACTGGTAATGGGAAAAGTGGACAGCTACATGAAAAAGAATGAAACTAGACCATTAGCTATCCTATAAAATAAATTCAAAATGGATTAAAGACTTGAATGTAACACCTGAAGCCATAAAACTTCTAGAAGAAAACATAGGCAATAAGTCTTTGACATTGGTCTCAGCAGTATTTTTTTGGACCGATCTCTGCAGGCAATGGCTTAACAAAAGCTACAATAAGCTAATAGGATTACACCAAACTAAAAAGCTTTTGCACCATGAAGGAAACTATCAAAAAAATGAAAGCAGCCTATTGAATGGGAGAAGATATTTGCAACTCATACATCCATTAATGGATTAATACACAAAATACACAAGGAATTTACCCAATTTAATGTAAAGAAAGCAAATAACCTGATTAAAAATTGGATAAAGGACCTGAATAGATATTTTTCCAAAGAAGCCATACAGATAAATGAGAAGATCCTCACCATCACTAATTGTCAAGGAAAGGAAAATCAAAACCACAACGAAATACCACCTTATGCTTGTCAGACTAGATATTATCAGAAAGATGAAAAATAACAAGTTTTGGTGAGGATGTGGAGAAAAGGGAACCCTTGTGCACTGTTGGTGGGAATGTAAATTGGTACAGTCAGTATAGAAAACAGGGAGGTTCCTCAAAAAAAAATACCAAATACAAAAATTTCATACAGTCCAGCAATTCCACTTCTAGATATTTATCCAAGGAAAACAAAAACACTAATCCAAAGAAATATGTGCACCCCTATGTTTATTGCAGCATTGTTTACAATAGCCAAAATATAGAAGCAACCTAGGTGTACACTGATAGATGAATGTGGTGTACACACAAAGTGGAATATTACTCATAAAAAAGAATGAGCTCTTCCCATTTGCAACAACATGGCTGGGCCTAGACAGTATTATGCTAAGTGAAATAAGTCAGAGAAAGAAAAATAATGTATTTCATTTATATGTGGATCTAAAAAAATAAAACAAACAAAACAAAGCAGAAGCAGACTCATAGATATAGGAATCAAACTATTGGTTACCAGAGGGGAGCTGTTGGGTGGCAGGTGAATAGGGGAAGGGGACTAAGAGATACCGACCTCTAGTTATAAAATAAAAAATCATCATGATGTAATGTACAGCATAAGAAATACAGTAATTGTAAAAACTTTGTATGGTGACAGATGGTAACTAGATTTGTCATAGGGATCATTGGTAATATGTAAAAATATCAAGTCACTATGATGTAGACCTGAAAAAAATCAAACAAAAAGATTATAGCCAAATTGAATCATTTTTCACCTGTTGGCAAAGATTTTGAAGTAACATACCCAGTATTGCTAAGGTTTGGAGAAACAGGCACCCTGCATATGTTTTTGATAGCAGTAGAAGTAGGTGCACCCTTTTGGAGTCAATTTAGCAATATCTATCAAACTTAAATTGGATACACATACAGATAAACTGAAAACTCAAATCATACTCCTTTCTTTTTTTAGAACCCTTAACTTAATGTCTTAATTTTACAGTTGAAGTCCATACTCCTAAGACCTTAGATGATCCGACTTCAGACTACTTATCTACTCTGCTCCTTTGCATTTCTGACATTTACCAGGCTCATCCTGCCAAGGGCCTTTGTACTGCTCTTCCCCCTGCAAATAACACCTCCAGATCTTCTCATGGCAAGCTGAACATCTAATCTTTCATGTCCCAGCTGAAAAGTCACCTTTTCTTACACATCTTCACTAATCACTCTTGATTGTCTTCATGGCATTTTTCACTATCTGAAATTATCATTGATATTTGTACTACTGTTACAGAAAATACTGGAAAACCTGGACTGGATCATTGACTGAAAGAACGAAGCAGCATTCAGAGGTCTTGGAATTTTGAGGTTTATTTTACACTGGTAGGCCCAGAGGGGAGTAATCTCCCAAGGTCTGAGCCCCGAACAAAGGCAAAGGAAGCAATATATATCTTTCTGCTTCTGTATCTATAACATTCGTACGTGCACAGCAAGCGAGCAGCCAAGGGGAAGTTGAGGACACTCAAGGGACTGAAGGCAGACCCCGTAGTAATACTAAACTGCTTAATCTGTCACGGAAAAACTTGAGAGGTCAATATTTTGCAGTAAACTGGCTCTTTAGTTAGTGCCCATTAGAGCCTGCTTGACCTTGACAGCTGTGTTGAATATTTTCCTTATCACTCCTTGGTTATTATTTGTCTTGCTCAACTAGGATATAAGTTCCGTGAGAATAGGTTCCTTTTGTGTCTTGCTCACTGCTATTCTAAGTACCCAGAATGGCACCTGGCAGATAGTGGGCACCCAGTAAATATTTGTTGAATTAATAAAATGTGCAAAGGTATATATAAAAATTTAATTTCACTATTTTGTATCACAGAAAAATCCTGAAAATAAATAAAACATTTACCAGTGGAGTAATACAACTATTAACAGAAATGAAGCAAATCTGTGTATGCTAGTAACATAATTATATAACTGAAATATTTTAAGTAAAAAAATATATATATCTCGAGCATGATTCTACTTGTGTAAAAAGGAAATAAAGAGAAACATTGTACATTATATATTTCTGGAAGGCGACATAAAAAACAA